AACCATAGTTTATAAAGTCCATGAGCTGGAAAGAGCTGGAAATCCCACATCTTCAAATCATACTTGATATGCAAGGAGAAAGTTGCACAAAAGATAATACCCTAGGTTGCAATCAGATAAAACATGTTGCATGGAGTTTCATATGGCTCATCAATAAATAATCAAAATGACTTTAGCTTATTGTGTATGCCAAGCCTCAATCTCAAGCGAGAAATACTGTTGCAAACAGTAAACAACAAGAGGTAGACAATCTTCTACCTTATTTTTCGTGAAATTGGTATAAAAAAGAAAAACCTTAGATTTTCCCAAACATAACTTGAAATACATCACATTTGATTCTACTTCTTTTGCAATATACAGCAACAACTCTATATTTCGCTATATTGAACTATTTTGAATAGTCTGAGAAATCTGGAAGCATTAGTTTGTGACAGAGTATAAGACACTCTCTTAGAGTGATCATGATTTTTCATTAGAGGTAAAGATTCTCCTGCGATTTTTTTACACAGTTCAGCAGCTGAGTAAATGCCACTATCTGAGATCTCTCAAAGAATAATTTAAGCACTGAAAACCTTTTAAATCTATTTTATTGTAATTTGGCCACAAAAACAAAATTAATGAAATAGTGTCAACAACAGCCTTACAGTTACATGTGGTGCATTTACAGCAAAACTTTTCGTCCAGCAGTCAACTTATCTTCCAGTCTTCCCATGAGACAATATGTCTTGGAAGGCCTTCACGTCATCAACTGAATAGGAAGGTTTTCTCTCAGCAACCAACTTCATTATCTCTCGGGCGTTCCTGTCCTTTTTAATTACCATAAGGCCTTTCAGCAGATGGTGAATGGTATCGACACTCGGAAACCAGTTCTTCTCCATGCTGTCTTTGCACAATCTGAATGCCAAATTAAACTCCCTTCGCTTACATAGGTAATGCACCATTGTCTGGTAAATCCTTTCATTTGGCTTGCATCCCCTCCCATGCATCGCACCAAAGACCGTCTTCGCCATCTCATGCTCACCTATCACAAAAAATCCCTTAATAACCAAGTTATATGTGATCTCATCCGGTGTTATCCCCGCTGCATACATTTTCCGCACCAGATCATTTGCCTGCCAGCCCCTTTTCCTGTTGATCAGGAACTGAATCCTTACATTGTAACTGGTTAGTGTGGGCATGCAACCCCTCAACCTCATGAGGTTCCACAGGCCATCCCCAACCTCACGGTGGCCATTCTTATAGAACGCAGCCATCAGTGTCGTGTATGTGATGACATCTGGCCGCACTCCTTCCTTCTCCATCTCCTGCATTACCCGGTACGCTGCATGGAGCTCCCCCATGTCGCACGCCATCTTCACCACTGTGTTATACGATATGTCATCCAGCTCAACCCCGTATGTAGGCGATGCCTCGTCCAACAGCCGCAGGGCCTCATCAAAGAGCCGTGCTTGCATCAGCACCTTCATCGTGGCATTGAGCGACTTGACCGTGCGCTCGCACCCGTACATCTCCATCTCCCGGAACGTCCGGAGAGCATGCTCCGGCATCCGGGCCCTCCCATACAGGCCAATGACCCTGATCACGAACCCCTCCCGCCTTCCCTGGGGCAGCGCCTTGTGCTGCTCGAGGATCTCCTCCACGAGGTCATTCCGTCGAGCACCTGCCAGTCGCGCCACCGCGTCCTCGAACGCGAACCGGTTCTCGACCAGGACGCGGTTGTCCGCATTGGCCTTGAACAGCTCGTACAGCCGAACCGGGTCCCGCTCTCTCTTGATCCTGACCAGCACCGGCGCCTCGGCGTCCGCGGGCCGTTCCGGCTGCGCCTCGGCGGGGGCCGAAGAGGGCTGGCGGCGGCGCTTGGAGGCCGCGACCGCGGCTCGGCAGGAGGCAATGGTGGGGAAGTCCGGCGGAGGGGCCGCGCGCGCGGAGAAGGGGCGGCAGCGGGGGTGGGAGAGGCCGGCGGCGATGATGGTGAGCGCGACGGCGTCGAAGGCGGCGCAGAGCTTGCGGAGGGCGCCCAGGGATAGCATCT